GTTTGCACAATTTACTTCCAGAGCTCTTCTGTGATATATACTGCCCAACCAGCCAAATGCATCATTTTGTTGAAGTTTGTCCCAGGTTTGTCTGAAAAAATACACACAAGAGTGTTGTTCTCGTTCATTTAATTTTACTTTCTCTTGCGAAAGCTAGCTAGACTTACAAAAAGTGAAGTAAAGAGCAGTACAAATGCTTTCTGACACCCAGGAGGTGATCTTGGGCGGTGGCGACTACATAGAAATGTCCAAGTCATTAGGGCTAGTTCATTTACTCCCCTCTGAGGTACTTCACAGGGATTGTGGGTGGAGTGACTAAAGCCAAACCGATGACAGCAGCAGAGCAAACCACATCCCTGACTCCGAGCATCCAGCTGACAAAGCTTCTCCCAGAAACATAAAAGCTTTTGTTCTCAGTTCACTTTCGCTTCCTCTTGTAAGCCGTAAATAATGTACATTGTGAGGATTATTAGTATTTTCTTGCTTTGCTGAAACGGATAGACCAGACTGTATTCTGTGTAACACCACTGAAGATGTGTTCATATGCTTAAAAATATGTGCTAATTAACAACTTCATGTTTGTTTATTTTAACAAATATTTACTGTATTTGCACTCTATGATGTCTATTATGACAACGTTTCAAAGATTAAATGCTTGATTAAGTTGTATTAAATTGTATTGGAACTACCATTTGAAAAGTTTTAGAACGGTCTCTTCTGCTAACCAAACCTGAATTTACTTTATGCAAAAGTAAAGCTAAAACCAGTACAATTTAAAAATATTTTGCTCTTGTTTTTTATTTGAATACATTTTAAAATGTTATTTATTCATGTGATTTTATAGCTGAATGTTTAGCGTCATTACATGATCCCTCAGAAATCACTCTAACTGTAATAAAGGGAGATGACAACAAGGGTAGGATCCAAACGCAGCGCAGACAAGATACAATACAGGAGCAGATGGTAGCATAAAGATAATCCAAAGAATACTTTGTGTAACAGGCAAAAGGGTCAAGGCAGGAAGCAAAACAGACATAAACAGTAAAAGCAAACAAGGATCAAAAATATGGCTAAAAGTAGAGGAAAGAGCTTCGTAATGCTGAAGGAAACAATACTCAGCACTCAATATCAATGTGTGTAGTTTATATAAGCAATATCACACAAGTAGCAGTGCAATATTGCTGTATATCGGAACTGGTGGGAGGCATGTATTGGCATTGGTGATGATATACAGCCTTATCGCAGTGCTACGAGTGTGATATTGCATTTCTACAACAGTTCGACGGCATAATTGTATAATATATAATTGTATTATATAAAAAATGTCATTTAAAAAATCAATTTAGTCTTGGTTATTATTAAAATAAACCTACAAACTTAGACGGTAGTGTATTTTTTTCTGTTTCTGCCATTTTTGCCTAGACCTCAGGAATGCATGCATAGACAGGCGTTGATGTCAAGCTTGATATATTAGAGCTGGTCTGCACAGATATGATATAGCGGGTGGTTGTGCTGGTGATTCAGGGTAAAGGGTAAAGCATTAGATGGGAGCTGTTAAATAGAGCTCACTCTTGTTCTACCAGAGCGCTTCATTGATAGTCTGTCATCAGTCTGTCTGAGGAGATGAAAATCTGAAGGTGCTCTTTATCAGAATAGCCTCTATTGTGCCTGGGTTTTTGGCGCACAACCAGACAGGCTATGAAGCTGGCGGACACATAGAGTCTATTGTGCTGTGTGATCAGTGATCATTAGAGCTAATTAGTGCTCTGAAAGTCATTGGGTTTGTGGCATGACTCCAAAGAGGTTCTCAGATGCTTGGCTTTGCTCTCGGATGCCGATGCAAAGCCCATATGAAGCATGTGCTCTTACTTTATACGTGGTTGCCAAATATTTTCACTAGACTGCGTGCAAACATCAGGAACCACATCTTGCACAGAGTTGTAATTAAAAGACAGGCATTAGAAGTGAAATGTTTCCTGTTCAAAACAAAAAATAGAAGAAGAACCATATGGTTTAACATGCTTTAAATATATGTCCATGTGTAAAAAATAAATTTGCGCTTCCATGATTTTTAAAGTCATATAAATTTTTGATCATCACACAGAGTAAACTGATAAGACAGAACAGCCCATTGTACATTACTAGAAAAAAGAGAAAAATTATTATTATTATTATTATTATTATTATTATTATTATACAAAGTCATGTTATGTATAATACAACGGCATAGTTTTTTTCATTGAACTTTTTTACAAAAAATAGAATGTAGTTTACAGTTATATATGTGTGTGTGTTTGTGCGAGTTTTGAGTTTTCCATTTCTTCTGAGTTTTCCATTTCACAAACTCGAGAAAGCAGGGTAAATCAAGCCTGTTTCTGAAGTAGATGTAACTTTTACTCAGTCAGTTACCCTGGTCAGTCAGGTCTGTGAACCTAACCTGGTTATGAGCAGGTTTTATTCTCTGAACTCTGAGTTTTTGTCGGTAATTCTCTTTCTTAGTCATTCATTGCCTACACTTCAGTCACACAAGTAACAAAGTTATGTGAATGGCTTGTCCTTTTTTGGGAAAATTACTATTAGATCAAATACCATAGTTTTAAGTTTTACATTTGATGTTGCTGCAAAATAAATAATTAGCTTAAATTCACTGACATTCGACAGGGACATGTACTGTAACTAGATTAATGGGATTATTACTTGTTTTGAAAACTATTTTTAGTACTGCTTTCAGTCTAAATGTCATCAACCTCTACCACTTGAACAATAAAAAAAGCAGACACACAAGTGCACTTTTAAACCATTTAAAAACTCAATTTAAAACATTTTATCTTAAACTGATCAACATGTGAAAAGTGGGAACCTTAAATTAGACATTTCCGCTGAAAATTAAGTTAAGGCTATATGCATTCTTGTTTTGTCAAATTTATTGTTACTATGCAGTAGCCTATTTTATCATCACACATTAAATTACTTATTTTTTATTATGCTTGAATATTTTAATGGTTTTAATATTTTAAATGTAAACTTATGCATTAAATTAAGCAGCTTTGTTTTCCCATGCTAAAAGTCTCACTGATGCAGTGTTGTTGCTTTTTTTTTATTAAATGGTCATAATTGCTATAAAAATGCTGATCTCTTTTTCAAGATGTTGCCATGGTGACTTGTAATATCCGTGCTCTTTTAATAGTGCCTTTTTATAGTAGTTGTGTTTAACTCTGAATTAGTCTACTCAGACTTGATTGACCTAACTCAGATCAGCTATTCTAAAACCAAAAACTTGGTGTTTTTCATTTTTAATCTTTCAGTACTTTTTTTTTTTTTTTTACTGCAGTTCTCTTTGTAATGACACTTCTGAAATTGTAAATATAATACAATTAAATGTGTTAAAAGAATTTAAAGCAACAGTAACAACAGATGCAAATTACAATCCATCCATTAAAAGCACAAATGTGTCATCTCGCAAATGTTGGATTAGTGGTTTGTGTTAAATCAACATTTGCAAGATGACCTATCAGTGCTTAGATAACAGATAATAGAGCATAATCAGTATTTAGATAACTTATTTGGTTTTAGTTTTAGATCTAGTAATGGAAACATCAATGCCAAAGATCTTGTTTTTGAAATCAAGCAAACCAATGATCTCTGATAGTTTCCAGCGTGTTATAATGAACTATTTCAATGACAACAGAGCTGTTTATGTTCAACTGATTGAAGAAAATAAAGAAAGCCTGTCAGTTGTTTATTTGCAGCATGTGCCTGAATGATTTTTAAAGAGGGCTCAAAGATGTTGTTTGTTTCCTCACGTTTTTTAGTTTCCCCAAACACATTACTAATAGCGGTGTACCAAATATTTACCAAACTGTACTAAGATCTTGACCACAGAGGGAGACATTTGAACATGTAGACCAGGGTTTCTTAAACTTGGTTCTGGAGGTTTGGTGTCCCGCTGAGTTTAGCTCCAACTTGCCTTAATACACCTGCAACTATGTTTCTAGAAAGCTTATGTTGCATCCCAACTCACATACTTAAACTACACCCATAAGTATGCACTTGTTTAGTAAAGAAAAGCATATACTTTTTGGACATCAAAATAATGTTGTCCCTAGACGCTGGCTAGGCATTGAATTTTGGTAACCTGATGTCACGACCTAAATCTAATCTACAGTGTAAAACCCAAACAGTCAACATTATCAAACGAAATTACTGTAGTTAACTCAAAATTTACTGAAAGTTCATTCTACTCATTTGAAAAGAGTTTTGAACTCAGTGTTGAAGGTTATGAGTTAATTAACTACCTCATTACTTCAACTTAAATGGAATAAGTTCACAGTGCTCTTATAGATGAGTTTTTTAACGCAAATGGTTTGTTGCAATTGGTTTCCTCAAACGGTTTAAGTTACCTTAACTTTTTGAGTTTTACAGTGTAATACGTCTTATGATGTTGTGTGCCTGCTGGGTAATATCCAAACATATCTTCATATAAGTTAACATTTTTGTTGCAGATGAAATATAACATGGAAAACGCAATTAAATATGTTTCAGTTTGGCAGATATTAATTACCAGTCATTCAAACATCTTTACCAGAGCCTCTCGGCTTCACGGTTGGTCTCTCGTCCGCCTTGTGTTGTAGTTTTTTAACACTTTTTACCCGAGTTTGTAGTTCTAATCAATTTCACATCCAACATGCAATGTATTGTGGGCAATATTAGCGGTTAGAGTATGGACGCTTCTACACTTCGAATTTTTACTAAAAATAGTAAACCATGCGGGTACCTTTGGCATACTCTTTTCAACATGCTATGTTTTGGGACATACTAATTTATTTTTGAATGCTAGATAGGATGGATAGTATGCAAATTGGGATGCAGCACTAGTAAAAGCTTGATTAGCCAGCCCAGGTGTGTCTGATCTGCAGGACACAGGACCTCCAAGACCGATATTGAGAATCCCTGATGTAGATGGTTAATAGGCATCATTTAACATATATTTCTTCTTGCAGGCATCATATATGTCTTGGACACCCCAACTGTGGTGGGCATCGCGTTTGCTGCCTTTGTAATCGGAGCCCTTCTGACTGGAGCTCTATGGTTTATCTACTCGCATACAGGTAAGAAAAAATGCCTGCAAACCGACATATTTGAACTGATCTGACCTCCGTTCTCATTCCCAGCCTCACACTAATTAGTACCAAGAGAGTTATGCATCAGGCAATTAATCATGTTGTCGAAACAAGAAAGCAAACGTACATTTTTGATCAGTGAAAGGGTTTGCCAGTTCTGTTAGCAGCAATATGGTAACAATAACATATTGAGTCCAAGCTCGTAAATATATCCCGTTCGTCAGCAGGAGCGCATCTGTCTTTTCCGTTCTTTCAGGCATTGGAGGGGGGCGAATGTTAGATGGTCTGCAGTATTTTGGGTACAATAGCCCAAAAGGGACTGGAATTCCCCCTGTCCGCTGTAAGGGTGTCTCCGGGCCTCACAGGAAAATGCATATACAATTCTCCAGCTCAATGCCAAAGATTCAGCTCATTCCTCCTCCCTGCATTGCCCTGTTGTTGCCAGGCCAATGACCTCTGTTGACCCTTCAGAGGAAGCGCATGCTCTTTCTTAGCCCTCGTTTCCACACATTTGCATTCCTGCTCGTCCAGCCTCTGGTTTTTGTCCTCAATGCCTTTGACCTGCTACCGTTTCATGGCGCACGTTTGAAGGGAGTCCCGTTCTGAACACTGTTCCAGAATCTGTTCTCGTGTAGGCCGATGAGTATCAGTGTGTTGACTGAGGATCAAAGCTGTTCTGGATATGAGCTATTTCTGGGTTTCTGGACATGTATATCTTGGATGTAGCAGTGTCGTGACATAAAAGGAGTCATGTTTAGCTTTTATTAGCTTTCGTTTTTATTCCAGAGCTCTTTCAAAAGCATAAATCAGTGTAATTTTTTTTATTAATATTGTTGGTATTGAGCCGGGATGACATTATCCAGCTGTGTTCCGGCTCATTGTTGTTAAATAAGACTTTTAGATCTGATGACCCCAGAGTTTATTGTTGTTTGTCTGTTTATGCTGGCACCATGAATCATTTTTGGGTTGCTGAAAACAAATTCACTCATATGCCTACTTCCATACTTTAATGAATGTTGATGAAAATCAGTATGTCACCTAGGTACACTACACTGTTAAAAACTGATATGACAAAAAGTCATGACAGAAAATTTCTTTGTGCTTCTTTAATTTATTTCAATAAGTTAATCAGGTTTCATTTCATATTTTTGTCAGTTTGACTGAAAATAATTGATTCAATAACCACAAAATAAGCAGCAATACAGTGTATAAAAATAATAATTAAATTAAAAATAAATAATTTGTAAAATAAAAAATAATAACAGTGGAGGAGTTGTGAATGTCAGTGAATAGGTGATAGCATAGGTCACATGACAGTGACAACATGGTGGATGTAGTCTGTATTTCATTCATGCTGAACACATTTATATGTAGACTCTAGAACACCAAATCCAGTTTCTGGAGGGCTGCAGCTCTGCACAGTTTAGTTCCAACCCTGTTTCAAAACAATTACCTGCAGGTTTCAAACAAAGCTGAAGGACCTGATTAGTTTGATCAGGTGTGTTTAATCAGGGTTGAAACTAAACTTTGTAGGACAGCGGCCCTTCGGGAACTGGATTCAACACCTGTACTCTAGAATATGCAAAGTACGTTTCAAAACAAATGTAGTACCTACAAGTTTTGTGGAAATTTACTTTTAAATCGAATAAAAATAATACAATTTAGTACTTAGTTACTGTGAAAATAATACGTTACTTGAATTTTTTCAATCGGGGCGGGGCCTTCTTATTTGTAATTATATAAAAGTGAAAAATGAAAAGCCCTTTTACACCAAAAGAGAAATGTGAAGTGAATAAACAAGGAAATGTAAATTCATGTCTATAGGAGAGCTATCAATATTTACATGAGAAAGCAAAGTAACTGGCATTACATAAAAAAGTAAAACTTTCTTGGAAATGAAGAAGCAATGTGTTACTTTAATAATGACTTGTAAAAAATGTATCTGATTACATGACTCACGTTACTTGTAATGCATTACCCCTGACACTTTACACAGTAGTTTCCTACTTATTTAAGTTCAAAACTGTGTTTTGTTTTTGTTGTTAAAAGGTATGACAAGTTTAAATCTTAAATAATAAAAAACAAATAGAGTGTATCTGTGGCATACTTGCGCCATGTGTTTCTTATAATGATACTGATTACTTCATATCAGCCAAAGGCCTGTTAATCACAGCATTGTAAAATATTCAGCCATATTACTAAAATAACCCTACATGGAATCATTTTTTTTTTATACTGACGTTAACCACAAGTGTTTTCATGTTTGGAACAGCCTAATATATTGAGTCATATCAGATGAAAAATATCAAAACATTGTGGTGATTTCACCCCCTGAAGTGCAGGAAAATGCCAGAAAGAGGCTTTAGTTAAATAAAAGGCCAAATCATGTTTTCTGTTTCAGTCAGTCAAACCCGCAAAAAAGATTTTTATCATTTTTCACTAATGCATTATTTTAGCTTTCAAAGAGAAATAGCCTGTAGTGTAGTGCAGTGCAATACTTTACAGACTTTTATTATGCCCTTTTAAAGACATACTCTTTTAATAACAACATAGGCTCATTCTGAAAAGAAAAGACAAAAACAAAAGCCAGAAATGAAAACAAACAACAAAATAAATAACAGGGTGGGAATGTGGTAAAATCTGAAAATGGGGTAAAAATCAGCTGCCACGAAGCAGCTTTTCTTTTTTCTGGATAGCTTTTAACAAAACTTTCTGAGACTCTCTACTCTCGGTTGGGTTTAGGGTGGACACTGGTCAACTGGTGCTAGAGTTTAGATTCTCTGCCCTATCCCAGACTTAACCTGACCAGACAGATATGGCTATTTTAGAAAAATCGGCCTAAGCAACAAATGTGGGTCTACAAAGTTGCACAATTTGCAATGCGTGTCATGCGCATCACTTTAATTGAGCATGAGCAACAGCAAAAATAGACCCAGCGCCAAAATGATGGCGGCACTGTGCTTCAGCTCTGCTCACACTCTGCACTGACGCACTGCTTCTGCATGCGGTTTAAAAGCTCTAATCTGTTAACATGGATGCTGAAAAAACACGCACTGCTCACTCTCTGCTTGCGCATGCCAAGTGCAAGAGGTGATGGCAAATGCCGACTTCCACGATGAACAGACACAGGAAGTAGGCTTGCCATGGCAGAAAGGATGATTGTCAGCTTTTAATGTCCTCTTTTGTTTTAGTTCATTGTGAATAAACAAACAATGCCGTTTACATGCTTCATCCTTGTTGCAATATTCATTAAGATAAATCTGAACTAATTTCTGTAGTTCAAGCAACTCAGAATTGTAGTTTAGAATGTCTGTTATAGCAGCCCACCTATTAACAATAGTTTAATTACAGTTAATTACCATTAATTACAGTTAATGTGTCTAACTGGGCTCGGACACAAGGTGCACAAGCTTGAGGTGCACAAACGTGAGAACAGCCGGCAGGAATAGCACTTGCAAGAGAAATTTGAGGTCTCAAAGTGTACACAGTGGCCACTGGTGAATTCGCGAAAACAAAAACGGCAAAAAACAAAAAGAAAAGCAAAGCTTCTGGGACGTATTTGGCGCTCTCCAGAAATGTATGGGGTACGTTATCAGGATGAGCCTGGATTGTTTAATAGGCTCTTTTAAAAAAATGCTTAAAATATTAATGTTTTTTTTTTTTTTTTTTTTTAGTACAGTTCATTCTTTCAGTTTAATAAACAGCAGATCTAAAGGAACTATTAATAATTTATTTATTGATTATTATTATTATTATTATTAGTAGTAGTAGTAGTAGTAGTAGTAGTAGTAGTAATTATTATTATTATTATTATTATTATTTTATTTTGCATTATTTCCAGTTTGTAAAAATTTTATTTAGATTTAATGTTTATACATTTAGTATTCAATTCAATTCAGCTTTATTTGTATAGCGCTTTTACAATGTAGATTGTGCCAAAGCGCGCTTCACATAAAGGGTCATAGTAACTGAAACAGTGTAGTTCAGTTTTTTAGTGTTTAAGTTCAGTTCAGTTCAGTTTAGCTCAGTTCAGTGTGATTTAATCATTACTGAGAGTTCAAACACTGAAGAGCAAATTCATCGATGCGTAGCTCTACCAATCCTGAACCATGCGAGCCAATTTAGTACTATTTAATATTTACTTACTTATAATTAGCCGCACCGTGTTGGTAACATCTCATTTTTACAAGGTGAGTCATTATCCCAACGTTCAAGCCCCAACCTGGAGGACCAGGACATACACACAGACACTATGGAAAATTTACACTATGAAAACCGGAGTACCCGGAGGAAACCCATGGGAACACGGGGAGAACATGCAAACTCCACACAGAAATGCCAACTGACCCAGCTGGGGCTCGAATCAGCGACCTACTTGCTGTAAGGTGATAGCGCTACTCACTGCACCACCGTGCCATCCATTATATTTAGTACATCTAATATTTATATTTTAATTTATTTTCCTTTTGGCTTAGTCCTTTTTATTAATCTGGGGTCACCACAGCGGAATGAACCACTGCATATATTTTACACAGCGGATGCCCTTCCAGCTTACCCAATTAACCTATAGTGTGTGTCTTTGGACTTGTGGGAGAAACCAGAGCACATGGAGGAAACCCATGCGAACATGGGGAGAACATGCAAACTCCACATATAAACCTACCCGAGCCTCGAACCAGCGACCTTCTTGCTGTGAGGCTATCGTGCTACCCACTGCGCTACCATGACGCCCCAGTATTTATATTTTACTTTATTTTCGTCTCTTTTCAATTAACTATATTTCTCTTTTATGTAATAATTTTGCCTAGTATAATTTAGTTTAGCATAGCTTAGCATAGTATAGCATAAAAAAAGCGGTCTAGTAAAACAGTCATTTCAAACATAGTTCTTCCTTCACATATAAAGCATAAAATGAGTACATCATTATAAGTACATAATGAGTACATAACTATGTAATATATATATTGTCCCATACATCAGAGATGCTT